GAAGCTGGAGGCATGAAGGTTTGGTTTTCTAATGATCATTAGCGAATTCATTAAGACCAATTGGCCATTTATTAGTGATCAAGATACAAGGAGGTACTTTGAGCAGTGGGCTGATGTTAACACATAGTTGTATAATATATACAGGGGTTTCTCAGTGATAGAAGTCGGATTAACCATAGACATTTGCATAACGATTCTAAATTGGACTGCTCAAAATTGTTTGGTTTGTGCAGGTAAAAATAATGAGGGCCCTCCAGCTGTTTGGTTCGTTGGTCGACGGAAAAGAAGCAGCAAACAGCTGCTGTTTGGTCGCGCATCGGACGGGAACGGTTGCTGTTTGGCAGCTGCCGTTTGGTCGCACATCAGACGGAAACGAGCTGCTGTTTTGGCTTGTGCAGCAGCGGAAGATCAAGCAGCGAGTAGCTGCTGTTTTGCTCGTGCAGCAGCGGGAGATCAGGCAGCGAGTAGCTGCTGTTTACTCGTGCAGCAGACGGAAGAAAAGCAGCAAAGCAGCTGCTGATTGGTCGTGCTGCAGACGGAAAACAAAATGAATATTGATTATAGTTTAAGAGAAGAAATTGCGACACAATTACAAAATGAATATTGATTCTAGTTGTTATGAGACTTTATTCGTGTTTTCTATTGTGTTTTGAACCAATTGACGTATTTCAATTGAATTTTTGAATGTGTTAAAAGTATATGATAGTTTACAAATGGTTTAAATGATTGGATATTTCAGTTAAATTTAATTGAAATGAATTGATTCAGATTTCAGACTTCAGAAGTTTGTCAGTTTACAAAAACAAACAATCTTATTGATTCAGATTTCAGATTTCAGACGTAAAAATAAACAGTCTGACTGATTCAGATTTCAGACTTCAGCACCACCTCTTAAAATTCAGAAGTGAATTCAGACTTCAGACTTCAGCACCTCTTAAAAAACAAACGCCACCTAAGATTTTTGATAAATTTGCTTAATAAAATAGTATAGATAAATATTTTGAAAGTAATAAACGTGAAAGTAAAATATTATAATAAAAAAATTATTAAAAAAAATTGATATCTCCCATATTTTCCAATTTGCAAATCGCATCCGATGTGAATGATATATAACCCTAGCCCAAACAAGACAACATAACGTTAGGGTTTACAGGTCGGTAGCTTTAAGCATTCCACCACCTTCTTCAAGAAATGGGGAAGAAACCCAAAGAATCCCACCCTGAAATCCCTAATTCTTCTGCTTCAGTTTCATCAGGCAGTATTTTCAAATCCCTTTTCGGTGGTGGTGTAGAAGAACCAGACGATCCAACCTCTGTTTCGATTTTCTCAGATTCCAATCCGTTCCGAAGTAAACACACCAATGAATCTCAAGTAATTCCTGAAAAACTTCAGCAAGTTCTTCGATTAGACATCGACAGTCCACGTAAGAATGACCCCCTGATCCCTGATTCTGCCAGTGAAGCGGTGAACAAGAGGAAAAGGAAGGAGAAATTGCCCAACAACAATGATTCAGGTGATTCTGACATTGAAGGAGAGATTAAGAAATCAAAGGTGGAAAGTGGGTTTGTTGCAGAAAGTTCAAAGAGCACCAACTTTGATGAGGAGAAGAAGAAGAAGAAAAGGAAGAGAGACGAGGTTGAGGCAGAGTATGAGGAAAGAAAATATGGGGCCATGGATTTAGATTTGAAGGAAGGTGAAGGGGTTAAAGGAAAAGTTGGGGAGAAAAGAAAGGAATTGGATAGGGGAGAGGATCTGCTTGTTCCAAAAGAAGGATTTGATGATGAAGAGAAGTTATTGAGAACCATATTTGTTGGAAATCTGCCATTGAAGGTGAAGAAGAAGGCATTGTTGAGAGAGTTCAGTCAGTTTGGAGAAGTAGAATCTGTCAGAATTCGGTCTATTCCTTTGTTAGATGTGGGTTTTCTTGTATATGCTCGAATTTACATTTATTCGAGCTCATCTAAGATGTGCATTTGATTTGGTTTTTTGGTTGCTTACAGGACAAGACTCCAAGAAAGGGTGCTATAATCAAGAAGAAAATCAATGATGCTGTTGACAGGTTATATAAATTTACAGAAAAGATTTCTTGTTTCTTGTTTGTGTCCAATATAGTTTGCCAAATCCCACGTTTCAAGACAACATGTTTATGTGCACTTTTAATGTTATGGTAATGTTATACTTGTATTTAGTGTCAATAATTCACCACGACATTGTAATGATTCCACTGGAGTCTATGTGCTTCCAACATTTTGTGTTTACATCTATGTAATGCTCTATCGATCTAATTTACCTAGATGTGGGCGTTGAACACCATTTTGTCGACCTTATTCAATTACATGATTCGTTTACTTCTCTACGGAGATTGACAATGAAGTTTGTTAGTTACCTATGTCTTTGGTCCTTGCATTTGAAAACAGAACAACTAATAGAAATTGATCGTTACAAAAGGCTCGGTTCTTTTGGGAAGTAGTGAACAAGTATGTATATCTGATTCCCAAAGAAAATAGACCAATCTTGCTTCAAAATAGAAAGTTGGAGCTTTTATGATTTTCTCAACATAACAACATTTGGAAATGGTAACATCAGGCTTTTGCTTCTTACATGATCAACATGAAAGAAAGTTTAGATGCTATTGTTTCATATCGTCAATCTGTATTCCCCGCCCTCCATTTTCTTGGGTCACATCAGTATCCCACAATCGTAATTTTGTTTCTCATTACATCGTCATATATGTATTTTTTAAATTCCTTGTACTTAACTGAAAATTTTAATGATTATCATTTTGTTCATTGAATGTAAATCCCTTGGTGAATGCAGGGTTAATGCATACATTGTTTTTAAGACGGAGGATTCTGCTCAAGCCTCTTTGTCCCATAACATGGCAGTTGTAAGTTGCTTTTCTGAAAGTTTAATGTCTGTTTTTTCCATCTTCCACTCGGAAGTCCGAAATTATTATTAGTATAAAGTTCGACAATACTTAAGAGTTTGCTAACTTACTTCTCAAGTAAAGAGATTCAGGAATCTACCTCAAATGGACCTTATCTTTCTTAGCTGCTTTAATTCTATTTTTTTTGGTCCGTAAGTACGTTCTATATGTTTATTACAGATATCCCTCTAGTAGCCTATAAAACACAGTCACAACGTTCTCATGAATATAATTTGTCGTTTAGAATATCTCAATTCGCATAGAACAATTTATTTCTAGTGAATATAAATAACGTGAAAATCTTAAGAACGTTTCCCGTTTGTTGGGCTGTCTGTCATTCAGGTTCTGCAATTTTATTGTCTATAGGTTATAGCCTTCTTATTTTCTACCCATTTTTTTCTTTAACGATATTTTTGTGGTTCATATCGCACTCTTCTTGGTTAGATGTTTTTTTCTTTTTGTGGCCCATTTGCTTGCAAATTGTTGAGAGGACTTGTATAAGATGGGTTTTCTGTAATGATACCAGAAACATCAAATTTCATGGAATATGCAATAATTTCGCATACGGTTTGGCTTATTACTTATGAGCATACAAACTAGTAAATTGTGAATGATGCAACTTAATCTTGAAAAATTTAATGATTCTATGTTGGGTATTTTTATCTAGGTGGGTGGAAATCATATTCATGTCGACAGAGCTATCCCACCTCGCAAGAAATTGAAGGGAGAGAATGCTCCACTCTATGACAGCAAAAGGACTGTATTTATCGGTAACCTTCCATTTGATGTGAAGGTACATTTCTTGTGCATAATTTTTGACTTGTAGGGTGCATTTGGTACGTGGTACAGAACGTGACATTAGTAGTACATTACATAACAGAAATTTGTCATACTTTGGGCGCGAGATTAGACCGACTGGGATAGGATGGGACTGAGTGGGACAAAAGTGCATTTTTTGCCCCACCAAAATAGCTCAAACAGAAATCAGGGAGATAAGACAAGATTGGTAAATTACTAAACTACCCATGTCACAAATTAAAACCCTAAAACCTTCCACAATTCTGTAACCAACCAACCTCACTCTTGCCTGTCCAGTCCTGTCAGTGTATCAAACACACCCGTACTGGTGCTCAGGTTGTTCATTTTACTGATCTTGGTAATTTCTCCCAGGATGAAGAACTTTATCAGTTGTTTACTGGTTTTAACAATCTGAAAGACAGCATCGAGGCAATTCGAGTCGTCAGAGATCCTGGTACAAGCATGGGAAAAGGCATTGCTTATGTCTTGTTTACGACAAGGGTATGCATAGACACATTTATATCTATCCAATTGTGTCATAGCTTTTTTCACAAAAACAACTGCTCTACTTTTGGGTAGAGGTCAAGTCTTTGTACATCTTACCCCGTACCCTACTTTGGAGTGGGATTTACCGGGTCCATTTGGTTTTCAATTGTGTCATTGCTTTGTTTTTCATCTATAAAATATAAAAAGGCCTTATTCTTTCTCACCAAATAAAAGAATCTTTCGGCATTTATCATGTGCTTTTGCTTTGTGTATTATTGCAGGAAGCAGCAAATACGGTTGTTAGAAAACATAAACTGAAGATTCGAGATAGGGAGCTGAGGTTATCTCATGCCATGAAAGCAAACTTGACACCATCCAAGCAGAAGGAATCATCATCAACCAACAATTATGATTCCTCCAAGAAGCCAACTGCCGGCAACACCTCTTACCAGGGAATACGGGCCAGCAAATCCGGTGGCCAGAAGAAGTTTGCCACAAGAATCGCTAAACCGGCCAGGACTGAATCAAGAAGTGAAAATACGGTCAAGCGAAAAGTGCGTTCTGAAAAGAGGCCTTCAGTTGCCGCTAGAAAGGCAGCAGCAAATGCAGCTAGAACTGGCGGAGATGGCAACAGCGGAGGTACAAAGCGCAAGCCAGAAAGCCGCACGCCACAGAGTAATAGCCGAAACAAGAAACCTAGGAAATTCAGGTAGGTGTGGTGTGTGTGTCCCAAACAGCATGTTATACTAAAGCCAGGAAATTTGTATACACTCTTTTACATCGTTTAGATTGCTTTAATGTTTATGGCAAAAGAATTCATTTGATATCATGTTATCTTCCTCCCTTCATGATAGTTTGGTTCAGTTTGTTGTTTTTAACGGATCCATGCATACTCCTGGGGCAAATGACATGAAAATACAACATATCTTGGGGCTGTTTGGTTGGTTTTCATCAAAGTCTTGAATGGATAAAAGAGTCTGTTTAGATTAATCATTAATCTGCTTTTATAGATTGAGAAGGCTTTTGTTTGGGCATGGATTTTTCATAGATGGAAGAATCATGTTTTTTAATTGAGAGGGGTCGATCCGGAAAATAATTGACTTTCTGCATAAAACAACATATGAAAGCTTACTGAATAATCCACTTTCTATATTATTAAGGGGTTATTTTGTTTGTTTTTAATTAAGTCATGCATGGATAAAGTTGACTTAATAAATAAAGTTGTTTATAAGGATTAAATAAAATTGTTGTTTGTTTGTTGTGATGAATAAACTGTCTGAAAGATTAAGATTGACATTTTACCCTCTATCCAAATTATCAAACATGACATAATAATCACATTTCTTTGAAGTATTTCATCAAACACTTTATAAGCATCAACTCTTCAGCCTAAATACAGATTCATAAGACAGACTTTGGAACACCTTCAATCTTCATCCATCTAAAACAAAACAAAGGTAATATTAATTCATCATTAAAGTAATTGTTTAATTGGTCTTCATCATCTAAACTTAAACCTTAAGAATTTGAAATCACTATTGCTAGGTCACAACTCACCTAATCATCATCTATAGTTGCAAAACAAGATCTAAAATCCAGACAAAACCCTATAATCAAAAGCAACAGATGATTTTTGTTGACAAATCAATGCTGGAGCACGAGTTATGAGATCGACCAACAATGAGAATACCAACAGCAGTAGCAGAAATCGATGCTGGAGCACGAGCAAAGATCGAATAACAATGAGAAGATCAACTACAGTAGCATAAATCGATGTTGGAGCACGATCGGTTATGAGATCGACCAACAATGAGAAGATCAACATCAGTAGCAGCTACAGAGGAACGAGATTGAGAGGTAGCAACGATGAGATAGAGCAGGTTAGCATCAAACCAAGCAAAACAACCGGGAGAAGAAGGGAGGGGTTTGTTTTTACCAGCGGTAGTGGTGTAAAAAAACTGGCTGAATGGATAAAGGAGTCTCCATATTGCTGAGCGATCAAGCCATTAATTTATCAACAAGTCGCAAACAAACAGGATGGTATGGCTGAGCGAATAAGCTCAACATGCCATTAAGCCCTATAAGTCATAAACAAACAGGCCCTAAGCCACTTATAAACAATCATATATAGATGATCGAATAAGTTCTGAGTTCCATTAAGTTTATTAAGCCGCTAACAAACAGACATGATTCTTACTTTGTACAACATACTTCCAAAAATATTCATGTTGATATCTCAGATATAATATAACAAACATTTACATCACCGGATGTCGCACAGAGTTGAAATCGGGACAAAGTAAAATGTATTATCAGATGTCAACAAAATACCTAAACATTTTAGATGTCACGCTTGAGGTACCAATATGAAAAGCTTTGAAAATATGTTACACAAAATGAGAAACAGACCAAAATACGTTGCATTTTCATACAAATTCTAATCCCGATGCCGGAATTATGCATTCATCTAATCTTACTATCCATGAAAGGGATAAAGCACAAAGAAGTGAGGATGGGTAAACAGCCATGATTCTAATTAATGCAACCAAAGATTTAAACAACACTTTGCACCTAAGATTATAAGGTTGGAAGTTTTCAATGCCTGAAAATTTAAGACAGTGTATTCCAGGATGTCTTTGATACTTGCACATTAAAACTAAACCGGCATCACGACAGAAAACAGTCGTAAAAACGTTCTACAGATTCCTTCACTGCCCCGAGGCTCGATGCCAACCACCGAATCTTTAAAACAGAACCGGAGCTCCAAGTTGATGCTAAGATCTGTACAGGCTTCCAAGACACCAAGAGGGTTGGTCTGGAATCATATTGGTTTCATCAACGAAACACTAAGGCTTGTTCTTGTTTATCAAAGTAGGCGTAATGGACACGATCCCTATGAAAAATAACGTGCCTATAGACTGTATGTCGTAGAGATCACCAATCGAACGTAATTCACCCAGAGCTATTCCAGCCTGTCAAGAAGAACAGAAGTAAATTACTGTACTACCAATGTCAGATTAAAACCCTAAAACCGTCCTTTATTCTTTCACCCGCCTGCCTTGTTGCAAACCTCTCAAGTCCCGTTTGCATGCCAAACGCACACTTAAAGGACTAATCTACAACAACCATCAATCGTGCCACAACTTCTTTTTATAGAACTTACAGTGACAAAAGATGCAAAAAAGGTTATAAAAGAATACCTTGACGGTTACATAAGCTGCTGGAATGAGGCCGACAGAAGTTGCCAAGAAGAAGATATGATACGGCACATCAACAATTGGCGATGCAAAATTTATAAACGTATTTGGCAAAGTTGGAGTCACCCTTAGGAAAAGCATGTAGTTCAGCAGCCCGCTTCGCCTTTTCGCCACCTAAGTAAAAAGAAAGAAAAGAAAATCTTGAATGCTTTTAGCAACAAAAAGGAGATGCTCCAAATATGTCAGAAGGTTATTATTCTCGTAGATAACCCCCATGGAGAATTGGATTGACCATATTGAGGCTCACCTGGTCTTGGAAGAAAACCAGTTTATCAGGCCAGAGAGACGAGATAAGGGGCCGGCCGATCAATTTAGATAGAAAGTAGCAAGAAGATGCTCCAGCAGTGGCAGCAAACACAACCAAAGCTACACCTTTTAAGACCCCAAAAAGGGATCCGGCAAGCAATGACATGAAGACAGTTCCTGGAATCATGAATGTTTGCATAAAGATGTAGACGGTACAATACCCCACGAGAACTTGAATGGTGTAGTCACTTGTATAGCTCTCGAGATGCTCTCTGGAGACCACCACAAAAAAGATGCTTACTTTCAGAAAGAGGATTTGTGAAAAACACACGATGGATATGCACACACACAGACACGCAACATCAATAGGTCAACTAAGTGTCCCACGTGTTGTGCAGTCAGGGGTTTTCGATCTCCAGTTCCGCAGATGATGCTGAATTGGAGATCCAAAACCCCTGTTGAAACACGAAGAAACACGTAGAATTCTGAAGGTTTTAGATTAAGTCGTTATAAAGCACCAAACATGGTAAAAGTTTTAATGGTGTAGATAGGGAAATGGAAGGTCATCTTCTATTATATGTGATCGTTACAAAAAGATGCAGAGATCAAGAAAGACGTTGGTCATTAGATTATAGTTAGGCGGATGAAATAACGACAAACTACAAGAAGATCGTGTGATAGAAAGGTTCCATTCTAAAAGATAAGTTATTGTAGGTGAAGGCTACCTGCAACGATTTACAAAGCACAATACAGCGCCACCTAAAGATAATAAGCACACAAGATGAATGTAGCATAAATGCACAGATGTTTCAGGAGTTCGGTTAACAGAAATACGAGTGACTGAATCTGAATGATTCTAAAGAAGATGGATGTCATTTATATAGGTTCACCTCATGTTTTCAAGTAATGTTTGAATAACTTTTTAGCTAATTGTCGAAACAACGACGATGAACAACCATTTACACGGAACTAAATTAGCATCTTTTTCCATCCCAAATCAAGAATTCGATAACAAGATTCAAATAATTTACAAGTAATACATACTAAATGCTATTCCTGCAGCTGTCAATTTCATTAGAAATCAAACAGTATGATACAAGACTTGAAAAGCAAGATTTTTTACAGGTGATTCAGATTAAGATATTGAGGATGAAGAAGATGACAGGAAACTACCCACTTCATAAAATAGGGTTTCAAGTCAAATTCAGAAATAAAATCCAACAAAAAGTAAAATCATGAGTAAACCCCATCATCTATAACACAGTAGATCCAGGTTTTAATACTGAATAAATGAAAGGGTATGTGGGAAATCGAGTACCGGAGAATATGAAGATCTTCAATCGTTTTTGGAAGCTTAAGAAAACTGTAATCAGAATCCGGTAAGGTGAGGTAAACTCCGGCGAGACTAACGGCGAAGATCAAAAGAACGCCGGATGCACCCGCCAATTCAAGAAACGTTAAGGGGAATTTCGACTGTGGTGATGGTTTGATTTCTGCCCCATTATCATCATCATTTGATCTCACTGAAGGAGAAGAAGAAGAAGCCACAAGCTGTTCTTGTTCCATCTACTTGATTTCTTCTTCTATTCTCCTATTTGAAAAACAATAAGCTTATCAAAAGGATTCTGAAAATCACAAGAATGATGAGGATAATTACAAACCTTAGCACTGAGTTGGAAGGCAAGAAATTGAAGGAAGAGAAAGAAGAAAGAAACCTTCTTCCTGGAGACTAGCTTTCAGAACCCCCTTCTCACTATATACAAAAATAATTCTTGAAAATAAATAAAAATATTTTTTTATTTTTTTTATTACAACATTGGCTAAGTAAAATTTTAATTTTTTAAAAATAAAATACATTCATTCTCTAATGAGAGTGTATAAAAACAATTTATTGGCTTATTTCGATATGATATCGGTAATAAAATTTTTTAAATGTTTGAATAAACAACTTATACCGATGTCAAACCGATAATAATTTTTTTTTTAAAAAGTTAAAATCTTCTGACTTATAATAAGTTGATAAGCGTTTTTGTAAAAAAAACATAAATTGTTTCAAATAAGCAATTCCAAAATTACCTTAATGCGTCTTTTATTTTAAAGATTATAATATTAATTATATTATTAAAATATTTTATTTATTTAATAAAATATTATTTCCTCTTTATATATTTATCGTCAATGTTTTTTTGATGGTGATTATTAAAATCTATTTCTTTCATTATTTTTAAAATTTAAAGATTTTTATGTTTCTTTTTATTTTAAAGAATTGTTGGAATGATTTGAAATCTTTAAATTCTTTTTTTATAAAGTTAATTAGAGATACTCTAAATATCTTTTCTCTTTTGGGTCTATTAAATTATTTATTTTTCGTTTTTTTGATGTTTTTATACATAAAATACATGTATAACAATAATTTAGAGATTGTATTTTGAATTTTATAATAACTACTTTATATATATATATATATAAATAAAGAAAAAGAATAAACAAATTTAATAAATGATTACTGATCTGTTTTTTGTTTTTGTGTTGTTTAAAAAAATAAAAAAAAATCAGAAAAGATAAAAAAGCAAATTCTTTTGTTGGAGTAATGTCTCCGCCACCTCATTTTGAAAATTAAGTATGAACATGAATTAATGTTTTAATTAATAAATGGAAAACGTTTTATTTGTGTCCCCATTTTAAATATCGATTGATAAAGACTGCACCTTTCTAATAAAACTATTTATTAAATGGAAAAAAAATGAAATTACGTATTTACCCTTCTCCTTTTCGTCTTCCATTGTAATATCGTTGTCTCTTATTTCGAATCGTATCAGAAAGGAAACGTAAAAAGGGTCCATGTTTAATCGTTTTATCAGTTACTTAAATGATCAAAATCTATTAATCGACACTTACCAAAAGTGACTTTGACGACTTCAAAAAACATAAACGTAACTTCATAATCTGTAACACATTTTCATTTTATTACAACTATATCTGATTGTGATTATTAACGTCACATAATCACTTTTTAAAATGCACGTTTGATGTTAAATTAGATGTTACGTATGTGATACTTTTATTAATCTTTTACAATTAAAGTTGTTATTGATATCTTAAATCGAAATGAATCGAACCGGCAAACTCCAAAAAGCTTAATCATTGACGTGTATTTGGCCTTCTATGATATATTAATGTCAAGTTTTGAATTTACAACCAATTAAATTAAAGGGTTGGGTTCTGGGAAGAAAGAAAATTAAGATGGGAAACGTAAGAAGAAATCTTCACCCCTGAAAGCACATTAGGATTAGACGCATCAAGATGCACCGGATCAATCCCCTTATCAAGCGTGATTCATGAATGAGTTTGAGATTAAATAATTCATATCTTTTCTTACACTTTTTACTTTAACTTTCTTTCTCATACGATTATTCGCCTTAAATTAAAATACTTGAAAAATATAACGGCCACCATAGGTGTCCCAAGTTCAATTACTACACTTATATATATATATATATATATGCCTATTCAAGGGAGAACTGAGTTGTTTGTGGTAACTATGAGAACCAATATTAACCACAAGTGTTTCTTCTTTCGAAAGATGAACATTACTCACTTGAAAGAAATACACTAGATAAACTCGAATCTTGGTCTTATGACACAAGTGTGTTAGCACCGTATATAAAACCTAGACAAAAATGTTAAATACATATTTGTATGTTAAAAAAATTAATTGTTTACAAGGTACAAATGTTAGCCACCATCATGACCACTTCGCCCCACCATCGAACCACATTAGGTCTATATCAAGGGTTAACTCTATTCAATTAGGTATAATTTATCAGAAATATATTATCGTATAGAATTCATCGGTATAAAAACTATATATTATTGTGTCAAAGTCGTGTTATTTTAAGCGGGACGAAATACATAACAAATATTATTCAGTAGCTATTTTTAGGTTCTCTTGAAAATAGATATTGGAAATGCCACCGATACCAAACTTGAACGCTGAGCAAGTGCATATCAAGAGTATTTACGCATTAATTATCCAAAAACATTTTGGGATAAGGAATATATTGAGTATAATTTGTACAACAATCCGAAATAGAAGTGATTCCAAATTTGGCATCAGATGGTCCTACAACTATTATGATGAAAAATACATGTCAAATTATGTATACGTCGAAGATGATCAATGTACAAGTGGCAATTTGTAACGTGCAAGTATACATTATGTTTTTTTTTTCTTTCTTGTATCTTGTAATTTTTAAACAAGTTTTCTTGAATATACAATTAGACTTTTGAAACTTAGATTAAGAGTCGTTTACGAAACACTTACCCGGTAAGTGTTTATTGAGTCATTTTATCTTATCGGATGAACATGATAAGAATTGATAATCTTACCCGATAAGAGCGATGAAAAGAGCAGAGTATTACCTGGTAAGTGAGAGTAATGATTCTTAACCGATTAGCACTTATTGGATAAATTGTTGTATACATTGTTGTTTTAATAAATTAAAATCTTATCCCAATGGCCAAAAAGTTAAGTTAAAATATTGATTTTTACTGATAACAGTTGTTCAAATTGGCCAAAACTCATGATGTTTTAGTTATTTAACCTTCATTGTAAAATTTGGTGACACTTTGTATTTCTTTGATCTCAATGGCTTAGTGTGTAACACCTAAAAATGACAACGTCATTTTCTTCTAAAATAACATTTGACAGAAACTTAGATATCATATTGTTTATTTATAAAATCTAAATTCTATCAATAATTAAAATACAATTTTGATCCTTGTAGTTTTGCTATTTCAATGGTTTTTGTCCATACAATTCAAAAACTACAATATGATCAGGTTTTAAAAGAACACTTGAAATTGGTCTCTTCATAGTTAACTTTTAGCCGTTAACTAAGGATTCTCGTCTTTTCTAATTTTTCCTTTTTTTAAATGTAATTCTCCGATGAACTTCATTGGCATCCCTCTACTCATCTTATTTGGCCAAACCTCAATCACACATACACACATAAGAACCAGTGGCGGATGCAGAAAAAAATATTGTAGGGGGCACGATATAAAATAAAATAATAATTAACTTCAATTTCATACAAAAATAATAAAAAATTACCTTTTACAATTATGCCCTACGACTCTTCATCTTTTGAAATTACGTATACATCATCATTTGAAACTATTTGTGTTTTGATAAATTCAAAGAGAATGCGAAGAAAAAGGAATATGGTGTTACTCATAAAAGAAAAATTCGATGAAACCAAGGTTTTAGATGGACAAGTCAGCCATGATGAGACACGTGATGCTCTAATACCGACAAAATACATAGCTACCACGCCCACATGGCCGACATCCATCCATATATTATATAAATATATATATATATATATATGAAAAAGTTCAAATGAAAACATTTTTATTTAACGAAAACATGAGAACATTTTTTTACTATATACTATCATATGTGATATTATTCTTCCATCACATATGATATATACGTGATACTAAATCAGAGACGTATGCGATTTTTGACGTGATCATGATTGCGGGCCAAATCGCCTTTACAAAGCTCCCCCACAAGTATTATCACTAGGGGTGAGCATAGGCGGGTACCCGCCCTTTTTGACAGGAACCGGAACCAGAACCGGCGGTTCTTGAGATATTGGAACCGGAACCGGAACCGGTTAGAGCAGTTCTTAAAATTTTGGAATACCGGTTCCGGTTCCGGGTACCTACTTCCTAAAATATTAAAATTTTGTTATTTAGAAATAAAAAATAAAACATTACCAAAACACTAAATAAATAAACAAGAATACAAATTATACATAATAATGGTTACAAAGATAGAAAACATTGCCAAAACACTAATAGAAAATGTTCAAAGTTTAACGATTACATACTATAATGGTAATTGTTCAAAGTTTAACGATTACATACTATAATGGTAATTGTTCAAAGTTTAACGATTACATACTATGAATCCAAGTGAACACACAATTTGAAAAAATACGAATCATTTTATATGAAGAATTTAGATGAAGATTGAAGATGACGACGTGCTTTTAAGATGTAAACCTAATATAAATTTGGTATTAAAAAATAATTATTATTTTTTTATTGAAAAATACCGGGTACCCGGCGGGTAACGGTTCCGAAAAATTGAGAACCGGAACCGGAACCATTCTCAATCGGTTCCGTATTTTAGGAACCGGAACCGGAACCACTCATATCGGTTCCGGTTCTGGAACCGGCGGTTCCAAGGCGGTTCCGGTTCTATAGCCGGGTACCCGGTTCCGCTGCTCACCCCTAATTATCACATATGGTAAGGGTGTTTTGATATGATATTATAATCCATCAAGACCATCATATGTGATGCTAAATCATAGACACAGACAACCTTTGGCCCGATCTAAGTCGTAGAACACGTCGTCCACACATCACAGGGTCCCCTCACGCGTATTATCACATATGATAAGAGTGTTCTCGCATTCTCGTAAAATAGATGTGTTATCCTTTGAACCTACACACACACACGCATCTCCGAAATGTATGGTTTATTTTAGTTTTAAATAAATAAAAAAAACATTTTTAAACTCTATACTATATTATAAAGTATTTGACAAAAACTCTTAAAAACCATTTTTATGCATGAAATACTGTTTATTGATGCATATTACTTAAAATTTAAGATTACAAGTAAATTGTGCGTAAATACAACTTATTAAAGTTTC